TAATAATAATAATAATAATAATAATAATAACAATAACAATAACAATAACATAAATAATAACAATAATAACAACAACAACAACAACAACAACAACAATAATAATAATAATAATAATAATAACAATAATAACAATAATTATAATAATAATAATAACAATAACAATAATTATAACAATAATAATAACAATAATAATAACAATAATAATAATAATAAGAATAATAATAATGATAATCATAATAATAATAATAATAACAATAATAATAACAATAACAACAACAATAATAATAATAATAATAATAATAGTAATTATAATTACAATAACAATAACAATAAAAATAACAACAATAATAATAATAATCCTACCGCATCTCAAATTATTAATACTATTACAAGAGAAGAACCTTTTCAAATTGATAAGGAATGAATTAATCAAGACTTTAAAGCATATTACAATAAAGATTTAAGAAAATGGTATTATAAAAAATTTTCGCAAGAAGAAACTATTAAATTTAGAGAACTATATTATTCTTATATGGAAGAAAATGAAATCAATATTTATTTCTTTGATTGGTTTAATAATTATAGCAAAGAAAATAATATTATTAAATCAATAAATCCTTTAGTAAAAACCAATAAAACTTGGTAAACAATAGATAATAAAGTTATTATATCTGAATATCTATAGAAGTAGAAAAACAAGAAATAGAAGCAAGTCGTTACAAAACTATTAATGAATCAGAACGAGAAGTTAACAAAAAAGATATTAAAAAACTTCATAATGAATTAAATTTTTCTAATAGTATGTTAGAAACTTTGTCAAAACAGTTAACAAGAATAGAAGATAAAGAAATTCCTTCCTCAAGTAGTAGTAGTATAATTTCAAGTATCCCAAAACCATTAGTAAAACCAATATATCAGTTAAATACCCATATAGATTCATTAAAATTAGGAAGTGAAAGTGAAGAAAAAATTGAAGAAATTAAAGACCTATTATCAAAATTAACTTTAGGAAAACCTTCAATAAATACCATAGATACAAATGATTTTACCGTTAATAAGATTAAAACTCATTATCCAAAAACAAGAACATATTATCCCAGACCTTCTCTAGCAGATGTTCTTTATGAAGAACGAGGAGAATATGTACAAAATTGTTATTCAAGAAGTGAAATGATCGAATGGAATATAGATGGTATGAGTGAACAAAGTTTATTAGATTATATTTGTATGATGTCTATGGCCGCCAGTGCCTACAAAAGAAGAGGAAATTCTGATAAGGCCACAGCCTTAATTATAGTCCAAGGATTTACTGGCCAACTTAAAGGTTGGTGGGATAATTTCTGGACACTTGCTGATAAAGAATCAATATTAAATGTAGTAAAACCAGAAACTGGTGAAGAGGATGCAGTTGCAACCCTCATTTACACTATTATTCAACACTTTATAGGAGATCCCAATACTTTTAAGGATAGAGCAACTAGTCAGGTAGCAAACCATTATTGTCCAACAATGTCTGATTATCGTTGGTATAGAGATATATTTATGTAAAAAATTACTCTAAGAGAAGATGGTTTTCAAGGATTCTGGAAAGAAAGATTCCTTGCAGGATTACCAAAACTATTTTCTGAAAAAGTCAAGATAAAATTAGAAAGTCACTTTGGTAAACCAATACCTTTTAATACCCTTACTTACGGCCAAATACATAGTATTATTATTGATATCGTTGGTATAGAGATATATTTATGTAAAAAATTACTCTAAGAGAAGATGGTTTTCAAGGATTCTGGAAAGAAAGATTCCTTGCAGGATTACCAAAACTATTTTCTGAAAAAGTCAAGATAAAATTAGAAAGTCACTTTGGTAAACCAATACCTTTTAATACCCTTACTTACGGCCAAATACATAGTATTATTATTGATATAGGAATACAAGTTTGTAATGATTTCAAACTTCAAAACAAACTTAGAAAAGAAGCAGGAACCAGTAAGAGAGAAATAGGAAACTTCTGTGAACAATATGGAGTAAAACCTATTAGAGCACCCAGTGTAGTTAGGAAAAAGGCCCAGAGAAAACAGTTTGTTTCTCAAAAGCCTTACCACAAGTCTTATAATAATTATAAAAAGCCCTATAAAAAATCCTTTAAGAGAAATAAAAATTATTCAAAAAATTTAGAAAAGCCCAATACTAGTACTAAACCCAAATCTACAAAAAGAATATAACATGTTGGAAATGTGGGCGACCAGGCCATTTTGCCAATAAATGTAGAGTTCAACAAAAGATTAATGAATTAGAAATAGATGAATCATTTAAAAAATATTTAATAGCAATAATGATTAACTCAGAATCAGAAGAGAGCAATTCTACTTCTAATGAAGAAAGCAATACTGAAATTATTTATCAATTAGAAGAAGAAGACTCTAGCTCCAGTCAATCTCAAGATGAAGATAGTTGTTTAGGCCCAGGTCTTTGCACCTGTAATGATTGTAAAACTATTAATATGTTAACTATAGATCAAACTCATTCTTTGCTAGATTTAATTTCAAAATTAGAACATGGTCTAATAAGAACTGAATTCATTAATAAATTAGAAGAACTATTAAGAGCAGATGAAAAAGAACAAGAAGAAGTTAAAGAAGTAGACATAAAAGAAATATATTCAAGATTTCGTCAACCAACCCCTGTTACTATTAAAGATATACAAGAAGAAATTAAAAATTTAAAAATAGAAATTACTAATTTAAAACAAGATAATATATCCATTAAATATAGAATATTAGAATTAGAAGGAAAAGAAAAAGTCAGAGAACAAGAAAATATTAAAATAGATTTAGAACAACCTTCGACTTCAGTAGAAGATGTTAATTATTTACATATGATAACAACTCATAAATGACATTGTAATATTAAACTATTAGTTAAAAATGAAGAATTTAACTTAATTGCATTAATAGATTCAGGAGCAGATCTTAACTGTTTGCAAAAAGGTATTATTCCATCAAAATATTATGAAAAGTCTTCTAAAAAAGTTTGAAGTGCCAATAATTCTTATATGAAAATTAATTATAAATTATCATCCGCAAAAATATGAAAAAACAAAATTTGTTACGAAGCCTCTTTTGTATTAGTTAAAAATATGAATATTCCTTGTATATTAGGAACACCTTTTCTATCATGATTATATCCTTTTAAAGTTACTCCAAAAGGATTAGAAACTCAAGTAGTAGGTAATTCAATATGTTTTGAATTTATACACCCACCAAGATCAAGAGAATTAAACTTATTAAGAGAAAAAAGTATTATAGAAAATAAAAAAAAAACAAATTAATTTTTTATCTAAAGAAATTCAGTATAAAAGAATAGAAGAACAATTATCAAATAAAAATATTCAAGAAACTATTAAAAAGATTAATAATCAAATTGAACAAGAAATTTGTGAATTAAATCCAACAGCCTTTTGGCATAGAAAAAAGTATGAAGTATTATTACCATATATAGAAAATTTTGATGAAAAGAATATTAATACTAAAGCAAGACCAATACAAATGAATCCTCAATATTTAGAATATTGTAAAAAAGAAATTCAAGAATATTTAGATAAAGGATTAATTAGACCCTCTAAATCTCCTTGGAGTTGCTAAGCTTTTTATGTCTTAAATGCCGCTGAGTTA